GAAATAAGGTATAACTTTAATCAATGAGTCAGGATAAAATATCCAAAGACAAATAACCATATTTTTGTTCAGCTAATTTTTGACAAAAGAATTGGAGCATGAAATGAGTAAAGACACTCTATTCAACATATAATGCTGTTTGTTGGAAAATTAGAAAATCATCGGTATAAAATTAAATCCAAATCCGTATCTCACACCTTACACAAAAGTCTATTTACAGCAGATCAGATGGGTTTACATATTAAAAATATTTTGCATAGCATTAGAAACTACCAAAGAAATATATATAGAATACTGGATGTGGGGGCTGGAGTGATAGCACAGCAAGTAGGGTGTTTGCCTGGCACACAGCTGATACAGGTTCGATTCCCAACATCCCATATGGCCCCCCGAGCACCACTAGGAGTCATTTCTGAATGCATGAGCCAGGAGTAACCCCTGTGCATCGCCAGGTATAATCCAAAAAGAAAAAAAAATCCTGGATGAGGAAATGTAGTAATAGGAAAATAGGAAAATGCCTAGATGACCCTCGACCCCAGTGTTTAGGGAGGATATGGACAGAAAAGGAAAGAATTCAAAGAGGGGAGAACAGAACGGAAAGTAATTGGTGAAGAGGCATCAGGGCTTCAGGTATACCAGTGATGAGGGGGAGTGGTATAGCCATATATCCAAAACACAGACTCAATAACACAGAAAAAATGAGATCAAAATGCAACAACTGAAACTTAGTAAAATCCCTGTGAAGTTAACAGGTGGCCATGCAGTGGGAGTTGGGGTGGGGAAGAAATGTGGGAACACCAGAGGATGGAAGATGGCACTGGTGGTGGGATTGGTGTTGAAGCACTATATGCCTAAAACTCAGCTATCAATAAATTTGTAAGTCCATTTTTTAATTTAAAAAATACCAAAATACCACAGAAACAAGAAGTCAACTTTGCAATTGAGAAAAATATATTTGCACGGAATCTGTCTAATAAGGAGTTGATATTCAAAATGTATTACAAAAACTCACAACCAACAGCAGAAAAAGCAAGCAACCCAATCAGAAAAGAGACAAAAAAAATATTTAAAGACAGATACCCAAAAAAGACATACATTAGCCACAGAAATATGTGTGTGTTTGTGTGTATGTTCGTGTGAGTGTGTGTGTGTGTGTGTGTGTGTGTGTGTGTGTGATGGGGGTTGGGGTTAACATCATTTATTAAAGAAACAAAAGTCAAAATAATGGCATACCAGTAAGAAAGGTCTATGTCAAAAAAATTGGGAAAAATAATTACTGTTGAGAATGTGAGGGAAAAGGAACCTAGTATACAGTTGGTAAAAATGCAAATTGATGCACTCCATAAAAATAGTACGGAAATTCCTTTTAAAATTTTAAATTCCGTGTAATCCAATAATACCAATAGGCATTTATCTGAAACAGACTAACAAATTAGTATATTATTCTATTATTTTAAAAATATATGCAATATCTGAAGACCTCCGGAACCAGCCACAGCCATGCTGAGACCACTCTCCACACATCCGGGCAAGCCTCATGCATGAAGGAACTGGCAGAGGAATCCAGGCAGGCGGGTCCCAGGGCTGAGATCTCCAAGCCTGCTCTGATCGGGGCTGAGCATCCTCCATCCAGATCCCCCATCTTCCAGTAGGCAGGCATCACACCCACCAACTGTTCCCGGCGCCAGGTAATTCCATCAATGGCCAAGACCCAGAGACTATAAAACCCAGCTCCCGGAAATGACATCTTATTATTTCGTTCTTACTTTGGAGAATCTGGCAGACTACCAAAAGTATCCTGCCCGCACTGACAAACTTCCCATGGCGTACTAAATATGCCAAATACCAGTAACAGTGATGGATCTCATTCTCCTAACCTTGAACGAGCATTGAATATGCACTTTTTAAAATTTCAGGGCTAGGACGGAGATGATACTGGTGCCTGCTGGAGGCAATCTACGAACAACAGGATGATCGTGATCGTGATCGTGATCGTGATGCTGTAACTAGGTTTGAAGTGGAAAATATGTTGACTAAAGTAAACAGAAGAAAAACTGAGTGTGATCTCCCTTATCTGTAGAATATAGAATACTGGATGAGGAAATGTATTAAAAGGGGAGTACCTATATCACCCTTGACCCCGACATTTAGAGAGGACAGAGAAGGAAAGCAATCAAGGGGAAAAGAGAACAGGAAGTAATGGGTGAACAGGTATCAGGGCTTCAGTTATCCCATTGATATGAGTTAGGAGTATAGCCATATCCCCTAAACACACATTCAATAAAACTGAAAACATTAGACCACAGCAGTAACGTGACTGACTGTGTAATGTGACTGACAGGCAGGGTGGAGTGGTTTAGGGGAGGGAGGGAACACGGTTGGAGTGAAGTTAACACTAGTGGAGGGATTGGTGCTGAGTTATTTTATGCCTAAAACTAAACTATAGGTAAAAAAGGTAAAGGCCCTCCCGTTGATCGTCGATTTGCTCGAGCGGGCCCAGTAACGTCTCCATTGGAGACTTTGTTGTTACTGTGTCTGGCATATCGAATACTCTCGGTAGCTTGCCGGGCTCTCCGAGAGAGGCAGAGGAATCGAACTCGGGTCGACCATGCTGGCCGCGTGTAAGGCGAACGCCCTACCCGCTGTGCTATCGCTCCAGCCCTTTGTAAATCATGACTCTAATAAAAATTGTATCACTTATCACTTAATCACTTAACTTCCCGTTAGTCGTCGATTTGCTCCAGTGGGCGCCAGTAACGCCTCCATTTGTCCCTGTCGCGTGCTAGTGTAGCCCAATGACATCTGTTCACTCCGGGAACATGAAGGGCCTCAAACCAATCGTTCATGATCTTGACGAAGAAGTCTGACCATCTGGTAGGTGGGCGGCCACGCGGTCTTTTGACATCCCGTGGAATCCAGTCGGTAACAGCTCTAGTCCAGCGGTCATTTTTAAATCTCATTACGTGACCAGCCCATCTGATTTTTGACACCTTGGCAAATGAGACAGCATCCCTGATTCTTGATCATCGATGGATGTCAGAACTCCGGATTCTTTCTCTCATTTAAGTGAAACGTGATATTCCAAGCATAGCTCTTTCTATTCTTCTTTGGGAGACCTGAATAGCGTTCTCATCTTGTTTGCGTAGGGCCCAGGTCTCTGAGGCATATGTTAATGCAGGAAGAACAGTGGAATCAAAGAGATGTGCCTGGAGCCAGAGGTTCTTCGTCCTCTTAGCTATTTCTTTGACGTTCTTGAAGGTGTTCCAAGCCGCTCTCTTCCTCCTGCACAGCTCGGGTGCCAGGTCATTTGTCATGTTGACCTCTCGATCTAGGTACACATAGCTGTTGCATTTGGAGATGGTCATTCCATTGAGAGCGAATGGGGCGTCAGGAACGAGGCTGTTTCTCATAAACATTGTCTTCGTAAGATTCAGCTGTAGTCCTACCTTTCCACACTCACGGTCAAAGTCGGCCAGCATTTGTGCTGCTTGGCTGATGTTTGGTGTTATTAAAACAATGTCATCAGCAAAGCGGAGGTGGTGTAGTTGCCGACCATCTATCTTCACTCCCATTCCTTCCCATTCTAGTCGTCGCATGATGTTCTCGAGGGTGGCACTGAAGAGTTTCGGTGAAATGGTATCACCCTGCCGCACCCCTCACTTGACATCAATGATCACTGTATATGCATATATATATATATATATATATATATATATATATATATATGTGTGTGTGTGTGTGTGTATATATATATATTCAATTGTGTCTTTGGGAAAACAATCATGAAGTGATTATGCTAATTAAAGGATGATTGCTTATGGTTTCACTCATATCCATAATACAACAGCCTAACGGGGGGAGGGAAACCAACTGATTACTATACTCAATATGAACTATGACAGTTAGATTTGTGACTAAGAGACAGAAAACAGTTCTCTAGCAGCCTTCAAAAGCAGTAGTTTAAGGAAGAAGGATGGAAGAAGATTAGGTAGACATATCCACAGAGAAGGAACAGAAACCCCTAATCTGACCTCCGGCTCCTAAATCAATGACTCAGGTGTTCCAAGGAATATCAGTTAAACTCAAGGAATGTATTCAATACGAACCTTTTAGAAAACCAGGTTAGAATATACTTTCCAGGGAAAGATGAAAATTGACATCATTTTTTGCCAGAAAGAGTTAGAAAAGTTAGTGCCATAGATACATAAACATTCGTACAAAGATAAAAATTGGTAATATATGGCTTGGTCAAGCATGATGACTGCCCATGAGTAAGTTTATAAAATTCATAACTTACATATTTTTGCTATAAAAAGCTGGCCATAAAACTGAGAATATAAATTCATAAAAGACCATTTTCTTTTCTTTTTGTTTTTTTTTGGGGGGGTCACACCCAGTGGTGCTCAGAGGTTACTCCTGGCTCTGCACACAGGAATTTTCTCAGTGTGCAGGTGAGCATTATGCGAAGTTTAGTGAAAAGCATCTATAGGCTGCAAATCTTGCCTCTTCAGGTCAAAATCAGTCTGCAAATGTAACTGCAAATTATCAAAATCAGAGAGTAAAAGTTCTCTGCTAGAATAAGCTGATCCTTTTAACTAGGATTTGTGGTCAGCCTTATAATAGCTGACTGGACTAAACAAAGGTAAAAGGTAAAAGATAAAGGCCCTCCCGTTGATCGTCGATTTGCTCGAGCGGGCCCAGTAACGTCTCCATTGGAGACTTTGTTGTTACTGTGTCTGGCATATCGAATACTCTCGGTAGCTTGCCGGGCTCTCCGAGAGGGGCGGAGGAATCGAACTCAGGTCGGCCATGTTGGCTGCGTGTAAGGCGAACGCCCTACCCGCTGTGCTAGGGACTAAACAAAATATTGATAAAATGGTAGATCATGTATGGACAGCCTCCGTTGTAAGCGTCACTTCATTAAATAAAATTGTCTTTTAGGAGAAATAGTTCTGTGCTAAATAGAGAAAGTGCTTATTTGGCTAAGAATAGCAACTTACCAAACAGATTATTCTGGAAATCTTGTTGACTATTCACATACTGAGTCATTTCACAAGTTGTCCTGACAAATCCTATGAAGACTTTCCAGCAGTGTGTTTGTTCTAAGAACAACTTTGATTTTTCAAGTACATAACGTACCCTGCAATCAAGAATAATTCAGAGATAACTAAATTTTAGTAAAAGATTTTCAGAGGGGTAAGAGATAGAGCTCAACAGACTGACAATTTTATTTAGATACAGGATTCTTGACCCCCAGCACCAAATGGACCCACAAATACTGTGGGAGAAACCACCAACAGGGATAGTAGTTCCAAGCACTACTTCTGCTGGGTATGCTCACACCCCAAAAATAATTTTCAGAAGACAGATAATCTCATCTAAATATAAAAACATACAAATGTCTGATATTCTATAGTTTTCTTAGCATGAGTGCTTTGCTTATTAATTCTCCTACCCTGGTTTGGAAAGGAAGAGAAACCTTTCATGGAAATACTTAACATATTGAAAAAGAGGAAAGCTCAAATTTAAATTTTACAGTATGAAATTAGCTTTGCAGCAAATCACATTCCCTATGTGGCATATTTTACATGCACTCCCCAGTAGCTAAGGATTGGTAGTTGATCTCAAACTTAATTCACTCTCATTAAGTGAAAAACAAGACAAATTTTTGGAGAAATACTTCTGAAAGGGAAATGCATACTGCTAGTTAATGTGAGAATTTTGCATAATATAAGTTTTAAAACTTCAATCATATTCACACAGGGTTTTCCTTGTATGTATTCAATTCAGGTTCAATCCCCAATATGCCCAGGAAGCCCATCAGGGGTGACCCCTGAGTGCAGAATCAGAAGTATTTACTGAACACTGCCAGGTGTGTGCCATCACCTCAAAAATTCAAAAGATAGAGGAAGGAAAGAAGGAAGGAAGGAAGGAAGGAAGGAAGGAAGGAAGGAAGGAAGGAAGGAGGGAGGGAGGGAGGGAGGGAGGGAGGGAGGGAGGGAGGGAAGGAAGGAAGGAAGGAAGGAAGGAAGGAAGGAAGGAAGGAAGGAAGGAAGGAAGGAGAAAGAAGAAAGAAAGAAAGAAAGAAAGAAAGAAAGAAAGAAAGAAAGAAAGAAAGAAAGAAAGAGAGAGAGAGAGAGAGAGGGAGGGAGGGAGGGAGGGAGGGGGGGGAAAGAAAGAAAGAAAGAAAGAAAGAAAGAAAGAAAGAAAGAAAGAAAAGGAGGAGGAAGGAAGGAAGGAAGGAAGGAAGGAAGGAAGGAAGGAAGGAAGGAAGGGAAAGAAATCAAATTCGCACCTTGAGCAAAGCAAGGAACCTAGATTTTTGTGAAAAGTTGTAACAACAATCAGAATTCAAATGAACTGCTTAAATTTTTGTAAATGTTTTCCAGTAGTTCCAAATAGGGTGATTTTTTAAATAAAATTAAATATTTCTATTTTGCATTCACTAGAAATATAATAGTCATGCCTATACACATGATTTTGAACTACATGAATTTTTTCATATACTATTTATATACACTTTTTTTTTGTTTTCTATCATTCAGTATTTTCAGCCAAGTTGAAGACTAGTTGAATCTTTCGATCCTAGATATAAAAGGAGCTAACTACAAAATACATACAGATTTATTGTTACACAAACACATAAAGATTTATTGTTACGCAATTTGTAGGTTTCATTTATTTCAGAGTTTTCTACCAAATATGTACTTACACTGTGGAAATAAGCTGGTCCTTGCAGTCAACAGAAAAGGTGCTATTCTTAGCTAAGACTTCTGCTCCCAGTATGTGGAAGAGCCTTGAACAGGAAAAACTGATTTCCAACAGCTGCGCCTCTAGTTCCTCCCAGCTTGATTCTTTAGGTATTGAAAATGGTTTATTTGTGTGCCTAGTAATGACCTCTTGCAACAGATAATCCTTAATAAGAAATAAAAGTTAAAAGATCATCCTTAATAGGAAAAAAATTACTTGTTATACATAAAATTACGATGTGATTACCCCTGATATCTGCTTCACTTCACAAGCATTGATTTTGAACTATGTATTACAAGCTGTGATCATCTAAGTGATATTCCTAGAATTGAATTTTTACTGGTGTGCAACCTACTTTGAATCAAATAGACTGTTTTGACTGTAAGCTGCCGTGTTGTAATTCCTAAATGAAAAGTTCCTGGTGAAAATCACAAAGGAACATCCACTTACTCACTTCCCCTCGTGAAAGAGCTGGTCTCTTCTTAATAGTAAATTGTTAAATCAATAGCAAGTTTAGTATATGACTATTTCAAAATATACATAATTCAATTTATTTACTCTCTGGAGACTCCAGTGAGCCAATCCAAAAGTTTCCAACAAATGACTAAAACTTTTTGGCCAAAAAATTTTCTCTCCTTGAATATTACACTATATCTGCACCCTGGTGGATCACACCCTGGTTGAAGACCTGAATCATGACTCCTTTTTTCAATAAATGATTTCTTTGTTATATCATCTTATAGCCTAATTATTGCTCATTTGAGTGCACAAATCACAAAATAAAGTCTTGAAATCAGCTTTACAGAAAAACATTTAAACCGTGTTGACTAATCTGTGAAACCTCCGACAGTCACACTCCACTTTTAGTCTTTCTATTCCATAATCAATGACGATGGACTGTGGCTCAGGACAAATGCTGCAAAAGTAACAACTTCCCATTGCAGTCCTACTCCTTCTCCTCTGAAAAGAACAGCAGTCCCAACTCCCTTTCTTTCCACAAAACCCATGTGATGACCCTGCGTGAAGAGTCCATGAAGAGGTCATGATAACTGAGACTTTATCTGAGAAAAACAGGTTCAGTCACCCTGGTATCACAGTTAAATATCCAGATTCCACTTCCACCATATTCTGATCACAAATACAAGAGAGATATTCGGAAAAAAATATTAACAGAATCATGAGTAATAATAATATATATTTTCTTTTGATCTTAGGGCTGGAGCGATAGCACAGCGGGTAGGGCGTTTGCCTTGCACGAGGCCAACATGGCCGACCCGAGTTCAATTCCTCCGCCCCTCTCGGAGAGCCAGGCAAGCTACCGAGAGTATTCCATATGCCAGACACAGTAACAACAAAGTCTCCAATGGAGACGTTACTGGGCCCGCTCAAGCAAATCGATGATCAATGGGAGGGCCTTTACCTTTACCTTACCTATGAGCTTAAAGTGATCTGTTAAATGACTCAATCACATGAAAATTACTATCTTGTATATATAAAATTTATACATGTACTGACCAATAATAGTTCCTCCTAAGTTCCTGTTCTGTGAAGTGTCTGAGTTAGGCTTTTATAGCCTAACTATATTTGAGTTGAACTTTACATCAGGAACGTTTATACAAAAATTATTTTTCCATCAACCAAAGCAAGGAAAACTGCATGTAAAAAAGTAAAAGCTTTTTTTTTATTTCTGTGTTTACTCTTTGTATACTTTATTTGCCTAGCATCTGTGCCCAAATTCTTCTGTCCCAATAAAGGATTTTTCACAGATTTATGACTCATTTGGGAAGTCTTCCAGATTCTGAGCCATATACTCTTCTTATCTCCTTTTCTTAGTTAAACATTGTCTTCATTTTTAGACCCTTCCCACAAATAGAATAAGTTCTAGTAAAGGAATAATTGTCTTCAACCATCCACAAGTTAATATCCCTTTTTTGCAATTTTTATACATTTTATTTTTATAAGTAGTTCACAATAGTTCATTACAAATAATATTCAAACACCCACCCCACCAGAGAGCATCTTCCCACCTCAGTAAGAGGGAAGTGTATGAAGGTTGTTGTATTTCATTCTGGAGCAAATTAAGCCCGTATATAAGAGAATCCAAGCAAGTATGTTAAAACCAAACAAATGTGTGCTACTTTAGTTACATCAGTGGGCTAGGGTATAAGAGGTCGCATGACTGCTTTTCCTTTTCATCATGACATAATTTATAGTTTCATTTAATTGGCTTCATTTTTACAGTATATTAAGAAGACAAAAATAGCAATACAGAGGAAAACCATATCCTAAGATATAAATATTATTTACTTTTTAGTAGCAACATGGGAAATTTTAACATATTTCACTTTTACTACGAATTGCTTGAAAGCCTGCAATCCAGGGCCAGAGTGATAATACAACGGGTAGGGCATTTGCCTTGCATGCGGTTGATCTAGGCTTGATCCCCAACATCCGATATGGTCCCCCAAGCACTGCCTATCAGGAGTAATTCCTGAGTGCAGAGCTAGGAGCAATCCCTGAGCATCACTGGGTGTGACCAAAAAAAAAAGTGGAAAAAGAAAAAAAGAAAAAAAGCAAGCCTGCAATCCTACCTAGTGTTCTGCAATGGTAATACTGCATCCTAGGCAAAAACATAGAAAGAATATGTTTCACCAACTATCAAACCTAGTCTTGACATTAAAATAATTTTATCCACAAGTGTCAATTCCTTGCTGTTCCAGGATATGAGTGTTTAAACCTGTAGTATCTGTAATTTTTCTAGAAATCAATGTTCTAAGGATAAGACTCTTAAGGACAAGTATGTTCTGGTTACCTCATACTGCAGAGAAAACTTTTTGTCATGTGTAGTATGTGTTTTAATATTTGACTGTATCCTAAAGCCTTTGAGCATCTACAGAACTGATCTAATGCTTTTATTCAGAGAGGTCTGCAAAATAACTTTAATAAGTACTGTAGAGTAAAATTTTGTCATAGTAAATGAGACAATGATTAACATCCTGACCAAAATCTCTCGAGAGATCACACTGTACATAGTTCAATAGAATAAGAAAGTTAAATCTGTGGGATGTGATTAAAAGGAGTATATGTGTGTCTTTTATGTAATAAAGGTAATATATGGAGATATGATCATTGGAGGAAAAGAAAGGAATTCTGTTAAAAGTAGATTGATTCTGAATTAAAATGAACAAAATTTACAGAACAGAATGAATGGTAAAGAATATGTATAAGGTTTGAGGTGTTTTAAGGAAAGAAACTGTATAGTCAAACTGTATTGTTATGAGAAGCTCTTTAAATAATATCCTCAGAATTCTTCTAATACTTTTTGGTGAGGTCTGTAGAAAAAAAGATATCAGATAGATGGTCCAGACTCAATATTCTTAGATAGTGGAACACTTAAAAAGCCAAAGGAAATTAAAGTTTTCAACAGACTGAATGAAGTAAACATACTATTGTTATTAAATTGTATGTTCTACTATAATATTGCATCTTACTGTGAGTGAAGCAAAATATTTGTTCTTCTCTATTCTTAGCACCTTCAGTACATTTTTTAATGTTACATGGTACTAAGTTGGTCGCTGGAGCGATAGCACAGCGGTAGGGCGTTCGCATTACAAGGGGTCAGCATGGCCAACCCGAGTTCGATTCCTCCGCCCCTCTCGGAGAGCACGGCAAGCTACGGAGAGTATTCGATATGCCAAACACAGTAACAACAAAGTCTCCAATGGAGACGTTACTGGGCCCGCTCGAGCAAATCAACGATCAACGGGAGGGCCTTTACCTTACCTTTACCTTTAAGAATTTATTAAGTAATTTGCTAGTTTAGGATGCGTTTCTCAGCCATGTATGCAATCATTGGCCCAGTTCTATGTCTGGGCCAATGAATTCACATGGCAGCAACTGTGGGAGCAATTGGCCCAGTTCTATGTCTGGGCCAATGAATTCACATGACAGCAACTGTGGCAGCACCCATGTCTGAAACTCACACCAGAGTTCTCAGCCTGAAACTATTCACAGATTGTCATCTCTGCAGAGAATGGTTATGAAGTGGTGGAGTGTTGCTGCTGGCCTGGCATAACTGTAGTGGTGGGGTGAGGGTGATGCTGCTGGCCCTTTCGCTGGGCATATTCAGTCCATATAGCAGGTCCACTTTTTTTTAATTTTATTTTATTTTTGGCAAACATTTTAAGCTTGTTGGACACAAAAAGTTTAGAACTGAGTGTGTTGTTAGTCTGGGACAATTACAGCAGGTAATTCAGGAATATTAAAATGCTGTTTTGCCTCACCCAAATAAAGAATTACCTGGTAATTGGGTCTACACAAACCTTGGAAGGGTGGATCTCCTTCAGATCAACTGCTGCCTAAAAGGAATGGTCTTTACCAAGTTTTCTTGAGCTCTCCCACAGTTGTGAAATTTAATGGAAATTCTAGCTGGGTTCATCTATCTAGAATAAAATCCATTCTATACACACAAGCCAGTTACAAAACCCTGATAGAGCACAAATAAACAAACTCCTATGAACCCATCAAGAACTAGAAAAACTTCTTTTTTAAGAAAACTAGGGAATAGTTTTCTTAAAACAACAAGAACTATGTATCAAAAACAACAAGAACTATGTATCATGTCTGTTTATCCAAAATTGCTCCTAGTAATAATTATCGGTATGCATTTTACAGAAACAGGCCTAAAAAGTTTCTGTAGTAGGTCTACCTGGATGGAGAAGAAAATTAAAGTTCATGCTAGGTATGTGACTTCTGCCCCAATCTAGTACCTCATTTGTTCTGGTGGATGTCTCCATTTCAAGGAGCAGATTGCTCAGCTATTCAAGAACTCATAAATCTTCATAAGAAACTATTGCTCTCTCATCAAATATCTCTATTACCAAGTCCAATGTAAGTGAATAGCCTGGTGTTTTCATGTTCATAAGAGTATCTGGACATGAGCATTTTTCTATCAAAAAAGCTGATGATTAAGAAATTTTTACTTTTTGTCCTAATAATCATAAAAATAGGTATAGAACTATGCTGTTTTGTTTTTGTTGTTGTTGCTGTTGATTAACATCTGTCTTATCATCCCAAAGAGAGTATTTCTAAAACAGCAAACCACTCTGTCATCACAAGGACAGAGAAAAGACATTTAATTCCTCTTACAGTTCTAATTGGGTTGGAACGATAGCACAGCAGTAGGGCATTTGCCTTACAAGCGGCCAAACATGGCCGACCCGAGTTCAATTCCTCCGCCCTTCTTGGAGAGCCTGGAAAGCCACCGAGAGTATCTCGCCCGCATGACAGAGCCTGGCAAGCTAGCCGTGATGTATTCGATATGCCAAACACAGTAACAACAAGTTTCATGATGGAGACGTTACTGGGCCCGCTTGAGCAAATCGATGAACAATGGGAGGACCGTGACCGTAACTGTGGCAGTTCTAATTATGTTCTTCTTTCTTTCCATACTTTTGATAGACAAGTCAGAAATGCAATGAATCATTGTCTGTGCCCCAGTAAAGCTAAGGTAGCATGGGACTTCACCCCTTATGTAGGCATGGTCTACAGTCCTCTGTCAGCATGAAGAAGGTCCAGAAGACAGACCTTTACCCATTTTCTCCCTAAAGATTTAGGGTGGTAAAATCTCTAGGAGAGAATATGAATCAGGCAGGCAGGCAGATAGTTAGGGAAGGGCCCCCATGGCAATGAATTCCTGGGAAGTAATAAAACTAATAGCCTCAAGGCTGCAAAAACCCACCCTGTAAGCATAGAAACTAAGGCCTGAAAAGAGCTAGTGCCAGCACAGACCTAGAGAAAGCTGGATCCCTCTCTGAGAGAAGCTCCAACAGGAGAAAAGGCCAGAAAAGGAATATCAAAGAAGACAAACAACTACTCCTAACTCTGTCATTTGCCAATCACACTAGGAAAGGACTTTCACGTAGGTAGAAAATCCCAGCTGTGCAACTTGGGAGAGACCCTCTAAAAGCCAACTTGAGGAGGTATGATGCTGCCAACAGGGCAACCTGTACATGTGGGGCGAGTGCATCAGCAGTCTAATGGTGTCTTCAGACTTCCTGACACCCCAAAATTGCCAATGTGCCTTTGGCCGGACCCCAACAACTTGGGACCAAGTTTACCAAGAAATTAAATGGTCAAAAGTTAGGTATGTGGGAGCCATGCCCACAAATCACCTCCGTCTCAGCTATATAAACTCATTTATTGGCCTTATCTCAAAGACCCATAAATAAGTCTTGAAAGAGACCAAAAACCACAGGAATCTTGGACACTCTCATGGCTGAACAGACTGGGTTAAATCGGAGGGGGGAAGGTTGGCCTCTGCCTGCCCAAGCAGAGCCCCCAGTAGCCATTTGCTTCCACAATCCAAAATCACCACCATACCCCCAGCCTGACTCCACCATCTCAGGATGGACCTCACGGTCACAGTACTCCCGTTGTTCATTGATTTGCTCGAGTGGGCCCAGTAACATCTCCATCATGAGAATTGTTGTTACTGTGTTTGGCATATTGAATGCATTACGGGGAGCTTGACAGGCTTTGCCATGTGGGTGAGATACTCTCCGTAGCTTGCCAGACTCTCCAAGAGGGGCAGAGGAATCGAACCCGGCTAGGCTGGGCTGGCTGCATGCAAGGCAAACGCCCTACATCTGTGCTATTGCTCCAGCCCCAGGATGGACCTTACCAAGATATAATCTACTAAAAATTCAGGTATGCGGATTTTGTGACTGAAATCTCCAGGGTTTCACAGAGTTGGCATGGGCTACCTCCCCCTACTTCCCAATACATATGGAAGCACTGGCAGTCACTCCCACAAACCAACTCCAGCACCACCCTGTAAATGCTATTACTGGCCCTGCTTCAGAGACCCATAAATAAATCTTGAAAGAGATCAAAAGCCTGGGGGGAAATGGGCACTGGTGGAAGGATGGGTATTTGATCATTGTATGACCGAAACTCAGGCACAAGGATTTGTAAATCTACAACTGTACCTCATGGTGCTTCACTAATAAAAGTAAAGTAAAGTAAAGGCCCTCCCGTTGATCGTCGATTTGCTCGAGCGGGCCCAGTAACGTCTCCATTGGAGACTTTGTTGTTACTGTGTCTGGCATATCGAATACTCTCGGTAGCTTACCGGGCTCCCCGAGAGGGGCGGAGGAATCGAACTCGGGTCGGCCATGTTGGCCGCTTGTAAGGCGAACGCCCTGCCCGCTGTGCTATCGCTCCAGCCCTAAATGTATGAAGTATTAAGGTAAAGGTAATCATCGATCATCGATTTGCTCGAGCGGGCCCAGTAACGTCTCCATTGGAGACTTTGTTGTTACTGTGTCTGGCATATCGAATACTCTCGGTAGCTTGCCGGGCTCCCCGAGAGGGGCGGAGGAATCGAACTCGGGTCGGCCATGTTGGCCGCTTGTAAGGCGAACGCCCTGCCCGCTGTGCTATCGCTCCAGCCCTAAATGTATGAAGTATTAAGGTAAAGGTAATCATCGATCATCGATTTGCTCGAGCGGGCCCAGTAACGTCTCCATTGGAGACTTTGTTGTTACTGTGTCTGGCATATCGAATACTCTCGGTAGCTTGCCGGGCTCTCCAAGAGGGGCGGAGGAATCGAACTCGGGTCGGCCATGTTGGCTGCGTGCAAGGCAGACGCCCTACCCGCTGTGCTATCGCTCCAGCCCACTAATAAAAAAAAAAAAAAAAAAAAAAAGAGAGATCAAAAGCCAGAGACACAGCAGCGAATTTCTGGAAGACATCACAGAGCTCTCTCCAGGCCCCATACTGAGCCATTTTTACTGGGGCACCCCAGATGGAGTAGGTGCAGTCTTCCCGCCTACTCCAGATGGAATCTGTGGGCAAGAGCTTCCACAAGCAAGACCGAGGTATGCAGGTTCCAGGACTAAATATCCATGCTGCACAGCAGCAGAGGTGCCGGGCTCTCCCTCCTCGGCTCCCCACCTGCTTGTCGGCCTGGCTGTCACACCCACAATGTGCCTCCAGGCACCATCTTAGTGCACCAACAGCCCTGGTCCAGAGACACCCAGTTGAATCTCAAAATGGATTAGTCCCTACAGAAATGTCTCTGAACCCAACCTTCTACAATCTAGGATTCCAGAAGCACATGGCTGCAGCACCCAAAATATTCAAAATTAGCAATGAATAATAAATGAGCTAGCATCTACCCCTGGCAGACAGGCTTGAATGGTGGTAGAAAATTCAAGCAAAACATAATGCCCAAAAGTAGAGAGAGAGAGGATTGGGGAAATTGTCTGCCATGGAGGAAGAGTGAGGACTGGGATGGGAGGGTGGGATAATTCTGGGGACATGGTGGTGGAAAGTGTGCACTGGTGGAGTGATGGGTGTTCGATCATTGTATGGCTGAATCTCGAACATGAAAGTTTTGTAACTGTATCTCACGGTGATTCAACTAAAATAAAAATTAATGTGGAGTTCATGCCCAATTCAAACAGCTTAATCAATGGCTGAATAAATAGCAGTACTCCTACATAAAATAAAAGCCAACTTGAATATGGCGCATAAGCTGCCTGTGACTACGTGTTGCTGCTGAGAGCAAGTGGTGCCTGATCCCAAACACATGTCCTTCCCGCATCTCCCCTCCTGAGCATGAACTTCCTACCTTCATATTCTAATGCTGGGATTTGTGCTGGGGCTATTTCCACTCTGAGGATCCCACATTTTGTCCTGGGCATAACTCTCTCTCTCTCTCTCTCTCCCCTCTCTGTCTCTCCCTGTCCCTCTGTCTCTCTATGATTTCTCTCTGTCTCTGTCTGTCTGTCTCTCTCTTCCCTTCACCCTTCTTCAGAACTTCCAAGTAAAAAACCAAATCTATTTTAACTAAAAAGTCAATAGTAATTTTTTTTTAAATCATGCATGGTTGTCAGTGCCTCTGATCCCTAGAAGCAACTTCACTTCAATGTCAATCTTCACCAAGCATATTCCTCTCCCTTGCAGCTAAAATTAGAGGGGGACAGGGCACCTGGAAACCCATGTGGCACAGTTCGCAAATTTGGAGTGTTTTTGAAGGAATTATTTTAATTTTGTTCAACTAAAAGGTAAAGGTAAAGGCCCTCCCGTTGTTCATCGATTTGCTCGAGCAGGCCCAGTAATGTCTCCATTGGAGATTTTGTTGTTACTGTGTTTGGCATATTGAATACATCACGGGTGGCTTGCCAGGCTCTGCCGTCTGGGCGAGATACTCTCGGTAGCTTGCCGGGCTCTCCAAGAGGGGCGGAGGAATCGAACTCAGGCCGGCCATGTTGGCTGCGTGTAAGGCAAACGCCCTACCGCTGTTAAATCCATGTAAAATGGAGTGGGATATTGGTATTCTAATGGTGAGTGCAATGTTATAACATATTTAAAAGAGGAATTAAATTATAAATCTAAAACCCAATTTTGAAAATCAATATTGCCTACAATAAAACAGCACAAAATATAAACAATAAAATAGTGAGAAGAGAGGGTGATATATCTATCTTCACCATTAAGACATAAACCCAGGAGGAAGAGGAATCTGCTACAGAACCAACACTTTCTACCCTTCATATTCTTCCATCCAATCAAAGACAAACACCTCTTTAAAGAGATTTCTCACAAATTACTTTTATTCAAAACAGTTCTACTGAATCCCTCATTTTCTCTATAAAACAATGCTCTCTTCTCTGTTTACAAACTTGCTTACAACTTTTTGACTTTTGCTATAACTTATTTGTTCCAAATTGAAGTTCTTCTGCTATTCCTCTCTACCTCCAAAATGAACCTTTGTTTGTTAACTGTTTTGTTTTTCAACTGAACACTGTCAATTATGTTTTGGCTGGGTTGGTTACACAATATATAATCTTTCTCCTGTAGCAGTCAGAGAGGAGGAAGCAAGTGCAGAGAAGTAGGGATTTAATGATATCAGCACATGCCTTTAAAAGTCCACATAAATGGAATTTGAAAGTGAGTCCAGTGGTTTTCTTAGAGTAAGATGGAAAAATACTTACAGCATCTTCAACTGAGCCAAGTAAATTATTTAAAGTAGTGGAATTGTGATCACATATCATCCCCCAGAGGGCTTCCCATGTGCTGGAATTCTCAGGACTCAAGGGACTCTCCATCTTAGACCAGTGTCCATTTGGACATTTAACAGTAGTGTTCTTTATCAGCAACTAAAACAGTCAGAGTGAGAAAGGGTAAATTTAGAGAGGTTTAGACCTGAGCTAGACATTAAACAAAAGCTAGAGAACTTTAAACAAATTAGAAAATTAATATAACACATGAAGTTCTTTGAAAACTTATCTATTGTTCATTTTTTTTATTTTGCTAACAGTTTATAAAACAAGAGTCATTGAATATTGTTGCAGGAGCTTCTGTAATATTTTTATCAAGTAGTTTCTTTGAAACTTCCGCTATACTTTACCTGCTTTAATTCTCTAAAGAATATGTCCTTTTCCAGTTTTAAATGATTGCGTTCATCCAGCTTGGAATATTTAGCTAATATCTGCAGGCGAATGAAGATTTCTGTAAGATTGACATAATGATGCATTATTCACCCTAAGTAGGCTGCTCCAGGTTTCACTTCTACATGACAACGAATCAATAAATACGTTCTGTGAACATGTATTTCAGAAAACTCAACCAATTATCATACATTTGATCATTCTGAGAGATGAGCATTGAAAAAAAAGTCACAACTACATTTTCAGACTCATAAAATGGAATCAGTTGAAGGAGACTTTTCTTTCAAAAACAATTGTTGGGGGCTGGAGCGATAGCACAGCAGGTAGGGTGTTTGCCTTGCACACGGCCAACCCGGGTTCAATTCTCAGCATCCCATCTGGTCCCCTGAGTACTGCCAGGAGTGATTCCTAAGTGCATGAGCCAGGAATAACCCCTGTGTGTGTGACCCATAAAAGAAAAGATAAAAACAGTTGTCTTTGTGATGTCTTCTCTCTTCTCTTGGGCCAAAGAGATAGCATAGCAGATACTTTGGACTTCACAGATCAAAGAGTAAATTCTGAGCACTACTACGTGTTTCCCCCAAACAAACAAAACAATTCTTTTATTTTGCAGCTGGAGTATGAAGAGGAGCAATATACTTGGAATTATAAAAAAAACACATTCTTCAATAATAAACCTGTTCTCCCTGTCTGATGACAAAAAAGGAAGAGGAAGGTATAGAGCAAAGATGACTCTGACAAATGTCTTCTGGCATCTTATTACACTGCACATCTAGTGTGAATGTGAAAGTCAAATCCTAGCACTGAGAAATCAGTTCTCATAGTGAAATAGTGAACAGAAAATGCAGTCCTCCTGGTGAGATACCCTTGTGAAACCTAAGAGATATATAGTAAAGCATAAACATGTATCAACATGTCTTATTTTTATTGTTGACAAAGGTACCAGATGGTTTCAGGTCCACTCATTAATAAATATATGCATTTCCAGTACATTGGTAGCAAATTATACCAGAGCTAATTTACCTCGAATAAAATGTAATTTCTGGGTTACAGCATTGTTAAGAGCTTTATCGAACTGATGCAATCTCTTCCAAGGCAACCACTGAGACAATTTTTGAAGAATGTTTAGCAATTTCCATAAATACAAAAATCTGGGTGAAAAGAAAACAATGAATCAAATAAAAATAGATGAAAGTAACTGTAAAGTAAAATGGAGATCCTATCACTGGAAATTATTCAGTTTTGAGACATGCTTTCATAAACCAAAAGTCCCACTTTATCTTATAAACATATAATCAGATTTTTGACAGATCACATTGCTTAATATTAAAAAATATTACTGAGTATAGATTCTTTGTAAAATAGTTTATTCTACAACCTAGCAGTATGTGGAACAGATCAGCTTAGGATGAAAATTCAGATGGAACCTGAACATTTTGTCTTTAGGTCTCAAGTTGCAAACACTGAAAAAAATTTCAAAATGTGGAGTTAAGATGCCCTAAATATAGTACAGGAGTAAGGTAATTACTTTGCATGCATCTGACCTGGGTTTGATCCCTGGTACCTCGGGTGATCTCCTGAGTCCAACCAGGAGTGATCCCTGAGCATAAAGCTAGAAGCTAGAAGTAGGGATGAGTAGGCTCTCTAGCTCTCTATGTTAATAGTCTACTTCATCCCATCAACCATTTATGTTCTTAATGACATCTAGAATGGCAAATCCTTTTCAGAAAGGTTTTAGTTTACTTTAATGATATCTATGAGAGTAATCACAACATATTGCAGCTATAGTCTAATGGATTCAAAAATCACTCCTTTGTCTATAGATTATAGAGTGGTTGCTGTATTAGCAGAAATAAAACAACATTCATCTCCTTATATATCTCTATCAGACATTCATCTCCTTATATATCTCTATCAGATATCTTGGTTAACTGGGTGCATTGTCAGTGAACAGCAATGCTTTGAGTATATATATTTTTTTATTAACAGCAGGAATAAATTAGACTTTAAGGAATCAGTAAACCATTGTAAACAAATATGCTTTGATCTAATGAGGGGTGGAGAAAAGAAATGAAAGATTGCAAGCCCAAAATTGGGATGCAGCATGGAAAGCAGCATTGCCATAGTTTTAAATAAAGACACAAAAGGGCAATTCCTTATATGAAAATAACTTTAAGATGTTCTCTTCATTTGTAAAAATGAACATAAAACTTAAAGTTCAGAATGTTGACACCTTCTATTTTCAACATTTTGAACATGTAGCAATGGTTTTACATGGTTCCTAATATAACATGAGTGATAGCACAGTGGGTAGGGCATTTGCCTTGCACACAGCCGACCCGGGTTCAATTCCTCCACCCCTCTCAGACAGTCCAGCAAGCTACCAAGAATATCCCACCCACAAGGCAGGGGCTGGCAAGCTCTCCGTGGTGTATTATACTGAAAAAAGTAACAAGTCTCACAATGGAGATGTTACTGGTGCCCACTGGAGCTAACTGATGAACAAGGGGAGGACAGTGCTACAGTGCTACTTTGCAGTTGCAAACAGCAAGTAATCTGTCTAGCTTTAGCTAAATAAAATTAACTTATAGTAGTCTAACTATACATTCTAAAATTAAGCATTGGGGGGCTGGAGTGATAGCACAGCTGGTAGGGCGTTTGCCTTGCACGCGGCCAACCCGGGTTTGATTCCCAGAATCCCATATGGTCCCCCGAGCACTGACAGGAGTAATTCCTGAGTGCACAAGCCAGGAGTAACCCCTGTGCATTGCCAGGTGTGACCCAAAAAGCAAAAATAAATAAATAATAAATAAAAATTAAAAAATAAAATAAAATTAAGCATTGGATTTTGTTTTTGAATCATGTGCAAGAGTATCAGGGCTGACTCTTTTTTTTTTTATTGAATGAATCACTGTGGGAAAGGTTACAAAGCTTTCAGGTTTAGGTCTCAGTCATGCAAATATCAAACGCATTTCCCTTTACCAATACTTATTTTTTACCATGAAGAACCCCAATAAAACCCCACCCCCACCCCTCCCAGTCCCTGTGAGGCAGATGAATTCTAGTTAACACTCTATCTGCTTTGATTAGATTCATTGTTTCAATAAAAGATTCACCACTATTATTTAGAGTTTACCCCCCCCCCCCCAATCAGACATGCTGAAAAAGCATTGTGAAGTGATTTGCTTTCTACAGCTGGGTTCAAGAATTAAATGTTGGTTTTGGATTTCTGCTATTTTACTTATTGACCCTGGAAGTATTTCTACTGAAAGTCAGATAGTTAAGAAATTGGTTTCTGTGCTCTGGAGTCGTGGCCGTGCCGGAGAGCCGCTCGTGGGGGGCAACTGGTGGCCTAGGTAGGGCGTGAAGGGCGGACCGAAACGCAGGGCTGACTCTTGAGATCTGCACTCAGAGATCACTTCCTGGCAGCCCTAAGGGAACCATAGAGTCGAACTCAGGTTTGTCTTGTGAAGGGCAACACCCCTAACCGGCTGTACTCCCTTCCCATCCCTAAAATTCAGGATTGTTAACATAACCAATAGTAAAATAGAAACATGTGCCTTACATCTTTGGAGATGTATGGGGGCCTTTGAGGCTCTCTGCTCTCAAGCTGTCATTCAGAAGAGGGAGGGTGGCATGTAAAGCATCTGCGACTTTCCACAGCTGATCCTTCTCCTCAAAATGACTCTTGAGGGCCTCCAGACTGTGTCCAGTTGCTGCTAACACCATCTGAATTAGGCTACCCTTCTGCCGTTGATCAAATACCTATACATTTAAAAAAATCATTATTGTCAAAAATAATAATTGGAAAAATATCTAGCTAAGAAACATTAATAGATGATTTTAAATAGCACAGCGGGTAGGGCATTCGCCTTACAAGCGGCCAACATGGCCAACCCGAGTTCGATTCCTCCGCCCCTCTCAGAGAGCCCGGCAAGCTACCGAGAGTATTCGATATGCCAGACACAGTAACAACAAAGTCTCCAATGGAGACGTTACTGGGCCCGCTCGAGCAAATCGACTATCAACGGGAGGGCCTTTACCTTTTACCTTTAAATAACATATAGCCCATTGTACTGTTGTTAGTAGATTGCAATGTCTTAATAAATGCTTTGGGATCTAAATATTACTTTAACTTATAGAATGCAAATTTCAAAAATACGTGCATCTAACTTTTTAATTGGGTTCCTATTTCTCTATTTTTGCTCATGCTCCTATAACCAGACTGAGAATAATATAAATATATGTGTACACATAGTAAATAGTTAATATCTCACAAATTGAATTGAAATACTTGGGATGGTATAAATATATTCATGTACTTTATATGACCATAATTAATATTCATTTATAATAAAATTGTGTCATATATTTGGGAATAGTGGTGCTAAAAGAAAATAGCATTGCAGTTTATCGTCAATATTAAGAGTATTTATTCCCCAGTCACATAACATGGGGAGACACATGATGAAGTTTTTTTAATTGAATTATCATGAGATATAGTTATAAGCTTTCATGTTTGAGTCCTAATCACACAATGATCAAACACCCATCTCTCTTCCAGTGCATATTCCCCACCACCAATATCCCCAGTAAACTCCCCCTTTTCCGCCCTCCCACTGCGATTCAGACAATATTCTCCATCTCTCTCTCTACTTTTGGGCATTACAGTTTGCAATACAGATACTGAGATGTTATCATGTTTGGTCCTTTATCTACTTTCAGCACACATCTCCCATCCCAAACGATTCCTCCAACCATCATTTTCTTAGTGATCCAATCTTGTTGTGTTATTTTATACTTCACAGATGAGTGCATTTCTTCTATATTAGTCTGTTTCTGACTCATATGGTGAAGTACTTTAAATTTAATTAAAGAACCATGATTTACAAAGGTTTTGGGGAGGGAAAGTGAGAGAGAAAAGAGCAACACATTCAAGAGAGAACACGGAATTCTCTGAGGTTGGAGAGAGCTCCTACACACATTATGGTATTAGATATGAATGTACACAATCCAAGAGGGGAGATGCGGGCAACACATATGCTCAGGTGCCACATGTGCTTGGTCACATGGGCATGAGAGGCACATGGGCTTGGGCAGCATATGCACTATGAGATTTTGATGTGCTGTTGGATTTTTTGTTCAGATTTTGTTGAGGATGTTTGCATTGATGTTCATCAAGATTAGTCTGAAATTTTCTGATTTTGTAATATCCCTATCAGGTTTTATTATCAGTGTAATGTTAGCTTAAAAGAAGGTATTAGGATGGATTCCTGTTTCTTCAATATTTAAAAAAAGCTTAAGGATCAGTGGCAGTAATTCTCTGAAAGATTTATAAAACTCATCCAAAAGCCCATTTGGGCCAGGATTTTTACTCTTGGGGAAATTATTAGTTATTTACTATTTTAATTTCCTTGCTTGTGATTGGCCTGTTCAGTCTTTCTTCTTCCTCTTTATTCAGTTTTGCAAAACTGCATATTTCTAGGAATCTGTTCATTTCTTCTAGGTTCTCCAATTTAACATGTAAGGTAAAGGTAAAGGCCCTCCCGTTGATCGTCGATTTGCTCGAGCGGGCCCAGTAACGTCTCCATTGGAGACTTTGTTGTTACTGTGTCTGGCATTTCGAATACTCTCGGTAGCTTGCCGGGCTCTCCGAGAGGGGTGGAGGAATCGAACTCGGGTCGGCCATGTTGGCCGCTTGTAAGGCGAACGCCCTACCCGCTGATAGCACAGCGGGTAGGGCGTTCGCCTTACAAGCGGCCAACATGTAGAGTAGTTTATAATAAGTTCTGATAATGTCTTGGATTTCCAGGGGTGTGTTGTAATTTATCCCCTTTTGTTTCTGATTCAATTTATTTGAATTTATTTGAATTCAATTTATTTATTTTACTTTCTCTTGGATAACAGTGGTTTGTCCTTCCCCCACCCTCATCCCTTTCTGCCACAGGAAGTTTAGATTTATTGAGTAACACCCATCACAATGCTCCCCAGGCAGTCCCATTCATCTTTAACTTCTCCTTTGTGCTCTTCTTAATCTGCTAATCGCTCATTTCCCCTAATCAGATATTGTGACTATAAAGTCATTCTTCAGGGATCTCTGGATTTCATATTTGTAATTTAAATATTGCTTTTCTCTTTTCTTTATGTCCTTTGAAGCTTACTTTTAAATAATGTCATTTTTGGTTAGCCATAGGAAAATAGTTAATGCTATGCTCTTGTAACTTGAGAGTTAATTGGCTCCAAATAATATTTACTCCTGGGCATCTGTCATATTTACTCAACTTAAGCTTCAGTTGCCCTGCGCAAATAGAACTCCTCCTGATGAGAAATGTGGATGGCCCAGGGCAAGCTGTAAGCTACCCTGGCATCAAAAAGGGACAAGCCAAAGGCCATAAAACATACAATAAGTTAAGATCATGGCCATGGGCAAACTCTGTCATGATCCAAAAAAAAGAGAAAATGGATAAGGACCCTTCTGGGTTAGAAAGGACTAATCTTTCATGTACCAGCTCCTGATTTCATTGACTCCTTGTATTGCTTTCTTGATTTCTATACTGTTGATTTCTGCTTGAGTTTTTATTATTTCTTTCCTTTTACTAGCCATTGAATTCATTTGTTGTTAGGTAGCACATTTAAGGAGCACCTTAGGTTATTGATTTTATCTTTTTATTTTTTCCTTCTATTACTATGAGTTTCCCCCTAAGTACAGTTTTTGTTATGTCGAAAAGATTTGGTAACTTGCTCATAATCACTAGTCTCAATAAATCATTTTTATTTCTTCTTTGATTTCCTCTTTTATCCAGCTGTTTTTTAGCTTCATGCTGTTCGACTTCCAGGTGTTAGAGTTTCTCCCATATTCATTTTATGACTGATTTCTCTCTTCATGGCTTTGTGGTCTTATAGGATGCTTAGCATGATTTTTCTGTTTGTGAATTTATGCAAGTTAGACTTTTTTTTAAATTAATGAATCACCATGAAGTACAGTTACAGACTTACAAACTTCCATGCTTACTTTCAGTCATACAACTATCAAGCACCCATCCCTCCACCAGTGCCCATTCACCACCACCAATATTCACAGTATCTCTCCCACTACTGCCACCTCATCCTACCTCCCTTCCGCCCCCTCCACCTGCCTCTGTGGCAGGTGCATTCCCTTTTACTCTCTTTATCCTTTTGGGTGTTGTGGTTTATGCAAGTTAGATTTTGCCCTAAAGTGTGATCTATTCCAGAGAGTATTCCATCAGAATTAGAGAGGAATGTGTATTTAGCCTTTTGAGAATGGAAGACCCTGAATCCATTGGTCCCAACTTTTCTAGTTCCTCATTCAATGCTCTTGTGTCTTTATTGATGTTCTGTCTAGTGGATTTATCCAGTGGTGACAGTGGCGTGTTGAACTCTCCCTTTACTATTTTGTTTACATCCATGTGTTTCTCTAGGTTTGTGAGCAAAAGGCCACAAACTCTGCTGACCAAACATTCTATGCCTATATTTTAATTAGTTAATACTTCATGAGCTTTGGTTCCCTTGATCAATAGTAGTATCCATCCTTCTCTCAAAATACCTTCTTGTTTAGATTGAATAACATTTGGCTGATATAAATATGGTTACTCAGCTTTTTTGTTTGTTTCCCATTGGCTTGTATAATTTTTTTCTATCCTTTTACTCTGTCTTTCCTGTGGTTTTTTGTTTTATGTGTTTCCTACAAGGAATAGATGGTTTTTGTTTCCTGATCTATCCCACAACTTCATGCCTTTTGATGGGAGAGTTTACTAAATTGACATTCATTAATATAATTAATATAAATGTAATATAAATGTTGTGTTGTCATTTACCATGTAGGGCTGTTGCTTCTCAAACATTTTGATGAACTTAAGGACTTACTTGGGTATCTGACCTTATCTGAAATGGCAGCTGAGTTCTTTATTTTCCCATCTGTCTTTGAGTTTTTTGTGTGTTAATGGTGGGGGCTTTTCACTTTCTGGAGAAGTAATCTTTTGAGTTGTTTTTACCAGATATCTACCAGTAAAGAGTCTGCTTTTCCAGTTATTTTCCTTACTACTTATAGTGGTTTTTTTTTTTTTGCATATACCCACAAAATCTTTCAGTTCATTACTTGGTTGAGTTAACTGAGATTTAAGGTTGTGTACCATCTGGGAAGTAGGAATTCCACCTGCCCCAAATATAAGAGATATATGAAGAAATGTCTTCATGCAGATATGATAGCATCATTGAGCATCATGCAGTCTGAGGTTTAGGTGACAGACTGATGTGAGCTGGGGTCAATCCTTAGCCTAATGTCAGGTATCTGACAGTGCTAGACAGAAGGATGGGTCCCAAGGTTTAGGAGCATGTTTCTGAGTGCAGTTTTACAATAGGACAGGGTATGTCTGGGCTCCATAATGCATGCATCTGGGTCTAGATTATAGAATGGTGTGAGCTGTGACCAATCCCCAGTCTAGGGGTTGGGGATTCAATGGGAATCCATAGAAAGATGGAGTCCCAGGCTTGCTGACATGTGGTTGCATGGGGTTTAAGGGTGGGGAGGGGTGCATATGACAAAGTTTTATATGTGCTAAGTAACCCCAATAATCAAAAGTTGCTGTTACTTGTATAAGGCAGAAGAAAGATATCTATCTGGCCATGTCAATGATCAGCAATGACCCTTGGTTATTTTGTGTTAGGTTAATTTAGTATCACGGAGTATACAAGAACACCTATAATTCTTTAAAGAAAGCCTGTGATTAGAAACATAATCTCAATAAAAAAAGAATGGTAGGTGATTTTCACTCAGACTTCTGACCCCACAGTCTCTAGAAGCTTTGGTTATAAGTTAGCCAAGGTTTCCATGGGCCTCTGAGGCTATCAGTATATCATCACTCCAATATGCTAGGGTCATAAAGTATGGAGAAAGTGCAGATTGAAATCAGTCACATAGAAACATATCCCAGTAATAACTATCTCCATGCAAAACAACAAGGATCACCAATTACATGTGATTAATTGTTAATGAAGTTAAGCAATAATAATATTTTTCCAGATGTGAGACAAGAGCAGAAAACTGCTGAATATTGATAATTCATGATCTGTCTGACAGAAGGGTTTTCAAACACTAGACATAGACAAAAAATGTCAGCAAACTACTGAAGGTAGACCTCACTCACTGCCCGTTTTGAGAACTTATATATGAAACCAAAAGATTTCAAATAATAGCCTGCAGGTAAATGGTAACTACATTTAAGCACAAAAAGTACCTTCAGGTATCACCAGGCTGTAGCAAGTCGGAGAAGGAAGCAAAGCCACAGACACCCATGTGAGAGCAAGATCTGGATAGAAGGGCACTGATAACCAAATGCTCAAAACCCTGATCTGGGAGCTATACCACCAGAAGTCTTTACCCTGTAGAGGGGTCTGGAGGATAGACTCTTGAATCAAAGAGAGCGGTATGGTTTCTAGAATCTTGAAATCCATGCCAGTTCAATCAGAAACACCTGACACAGGATTGAGGTGTGTTTAAAGTATTATTCCAGATCATTGAGAATGTCTAAGAACTGTATTTTGAGATTAGAAAATTCAGTTCCTTAATTTTGCAGTTTGGACACTAATTTTATGAACCCATCTGCCTTCCTGCTCCCTGATAGCAATCATCTCTTTGATTGGAAAACTGCCCTTTCCTCGTTTCCAGTTCTCAAGCCCATTTCAATTTCCACCAGCTACTCTACTTTTTCACAATCTCCATGAATTTATTTTTCCTTTTCCAATTTCAAGAGCAATAGAGTAATCTATTTTCTTCCAATCACCTTGAGGCTGGTACAAAATGAGAAGCTAAGAGAAAAGAAACACTTCTATAGAAACAGCAAAGACTTGCCATATCCAAAGAGCTCATACTGCCTCCTTGTGTTGCCTCAGATACATAGTATAGAGTTACTCTTGAGAGTTTGCTTAAAGGTTCTAAGCAGTGGAGCACCGCTACTTTTGTACCGTCAACCAAAGTCCGAAAACCAGTCCATCTCTATTCCCGGGAAGGATATTCTCTTCAACCTTTCTCTTCGGTCGAGTGTGCAGCTTTGGGAGAGACATACAGCTTGGGAGGGACGCACATAGAGTAGTGAGGAAGCAAGGGAACACTCACCTAACCAACCAGAGCAGCCAAATCAACCCTGGCTATCAAAGGGGTGACAGATGTGGCAGCCGGATCGCCCTCACATCCAAGTTACTCTTAAGGAGAAGCCCCATTCTAGAAGATCAAATCAAGCATGTGTACCTCTTGTGGTCCAATTGAATAATTTCCGCCTTGTTCTGCATGAAGGTCATCAGAGTCAAATAGGGATTTCAGGTCTGCCTGTAAATTCTGTGGATCCCACACCAAATCGTGCAAGGACATATTGTATTCTGACTCTGCAGGACAATGATTTACATGGTTAATTGTTTCAACATTGTGACACATATAATTGAGAAAACAAACACTTCTTCACTTCTGAAGGCAAAGCATAAATAAAGGTCAAATACCATCTGTAACATTAAATAATAAAAGCAAACTCTCTAATACTGGATGCTACGAATCTAATGGTGAGATGACACACATATCCCAGCATAAATGACTACAAGGTTTCTCCACAAAAGTCTGATAGTAAGTTTCAAGGACTTACTATCAAATAATATTCGAATAAAATTTGAATATTCAAATGAGTTTCAAGGACTTACTATCAAATAATATTCGAATAAAATTTGAATATTCAAATAAGTTTCAAGGACTTACTATCAAATAATATTCAAATAAAATTTGAATATTCAAATAAGTTTCAAGGACTTACTATCAAATAATATTCAAATAAAATTTGAATATTCAAATAATCAAATCTGATCATTTCTTCAAAAAATTCTCTCAGTAAATTCTCTCAATATATCTAATTATTTTTGTGAAGTATAAGGAATTTACCATAATTTTATCACAATAATTTTATACCAAATAGTTGTTATAAGCCAGCATAGAAGAAAATGATGAATTATGGCATAGTTTTATCATAAAATACAATGGAGTCTTTAAATTCATATTTCAAAAAAATAAGTTATATAAAAGCCTTCTCTAATAGAGTTAATAAATATATTAACTCTAAATTGGGTAAAATAAATACTCTTAAATAACTGATAATGGGCTGGAGCGATAGCACAGTGGCAGGGCATTTGCCTTGCACGAGGCCAACATGGCCTACTCGAGTTTGATTCCTCCACCCCTCTCGGAGAGCCCGGCAAGCTACCGAGAGTATCTCGCCCGCACGGCAGGGCCTGGCAAGCTCCCCGTGATGTATTCGATATGCCAAATACAGTAACAACAAAGTCTCCAATGGAGACATTACTGGGCCTGCTCGAGCAAATAACTGATATAATCTATCAATATCATCCAGAAGTGGCAGACCTGTTGTATAACTCTGAGGACCCCACTCTATCCTACTCCAATTTTGAACAAAAGCTCTGGACAATTGCAGGGATAAAGCCTGTATAAATTCCCTCATGAAACTTTATCTGAAAAGTAAATCCAACCAAGTAGATCGTTTGAGATCATGATTCAACAGCCATCTCCTAACTTCCTACATATGCCAGGCACCATACATCACTTTCTTTTCTGATTCCCATGAATTTAGACTTTTAGTACCAAAAGTTGAAAGAAAAGACACAACTCTGTTGTTTACAAAACAATACAATATGGGGACTTCAAGAAAGTGCCTAAGAAAGGCAGGCCCAGGAGTCGAAGACTGCTCAGTTCCAGTCTGGTTGTCTTTGCTTATTATTAAAAGTGGTAAGGGAGAAAATACTGCTCTAAAACTAAAACCAGGAGTTCAGAAAATGAGGAAAAATTAAAACTACAGAACAAGGATTGCTCTAACATTAGGTGATATAAATGCAGTTCATTTTTAAATCATTCTTTCATTTAATTGAAGTTAGTGTTTTTATGGGCAGTACCCTCAAAATTTCAATAATGGTTGTTTAAAATTCAGTTTTGAGTTTCAAATTTGTAGCCTACTTGTAATCTGAGTGAAATCAATAGATAATTTTTTATTTGATATTTCAATTGCATCATTTATTTAATAGCCTTTTATCTCTATAGTGGCTGTTAATAAGTATAGCTAGAGAGGCTTTTGAATAGAAGAAAAGGTGTTAATTACCCATATTAGTAGCAGCTACTGCACCATATTCCTGAAGAAATGTCAGCGTAGAAATGGTCACATTTAGCACAATTTCAGAAATCCTCAAAACAGTGTGGTTGAGTGGCAGCCAATCTAAATCTTCTAGAGATGTTAATGAACTGAAGCCAAACCAAACAAAAGTAATTTGAGTAGTCCTTTAACAACAACAACAACAAAAATTGTTTTAAGGGCATAAATTCTAATTGTTCCTGGAATTATGACAGGGTCACATTAACTGACTAAGCCCAACTCAATGTACATATGACAGCATAATTTATACAAAAACATTCAAAATGGTTTAAAACATCAAGTGTGATTTCAAATGCCTGAACTGCATTAAAAATTATAGTTTAGTTTCTCTCATGAAATATGTGCGCATTTTGGATACCTTCTAGTCTACCTGTTAATACCAATTCTGAGTTTAAGTTGGCATTCTCACAGGTGTTTCTCATGTTCAGATATAGCCAGAGGACAGACATATCAAGGGTAAAATCCCTAAAGAGAAATTGAGCAACTATCCAGACACAACTTGGTATGGGTAGAGTATTTTCTTGAGTACTATACATCCCAATCCTCCATCCTGTCTTCCAACGTGTTTCTTAAAATATCAGGAGTTCAATCAATGATATAAAATTTCTTTTGAGACAGTAGGGTGTTTCAGAATGCCCGTGTATGTTTACAAAGAATGTTATTCTTTATAATACGTTATTTAATAAATAGTAACTAAAACTTGTAAGCTGCAAAATTCATTTAGCCTAAGTGGGGATAGATGCAAATTTTATTAACAGAAGGCCAATACAAATTTATACAAATTATTTTCTTGTATTTTCTCAGTAGAAAAATTTTTCATGGTATAATTGCATTATAGAAAACTATTCCAAAAGTTATAGATATGTCATTAAAAACTGGTGCTACATGCAAATATGAATTTCTGTGAATGCAGATTTGCTTGATATTGTAAATACTGATGCAAAACATAGAAATATTTTTACTGAATCTGATATTAAGTTTTCATTAATATCTTATAATTTGAAATTTCGTCTTTTTTAAATATCTCTTAACATGTGTATTCAACACTTACAGAAAGAATAAAAGAAAAGTATAAAATGCCTAAATATTTAAGATATAAATAAAATTTAAAACTTATCAAATCATGAATCATTTTCTAAAATGAAAAAATTTGTCTTCTTAATATCTTGAAATATATGGTAAAATTTAGTACATTTTCTTTCTCATAATTATGCTTTTAATGTAGGTGCCTGGGAGTATATGCCTTCGTTCCCCATCCCTAGTAAACCCTTTCCCACTTCCCACTGACTCCATGTGTGCATATACAGAGTGGGATCTGTATCTCCAAGCACTATCCACACCCTCTGTTTCATATCAATTTATAACTCCTGCTACTATTATTAGATTACCATGGTACCTGATTCACATATCAACAAAAAGAGCTGGTCTCAGTGAAAAGGGCAGTCTCTGTGTGTCTAAAATCAAGCTATGATATTAGAATAAAACCCCCTAGGGTAAGAAGGCCTTTTGGGCATAGACTCTTAACCTGTGAATTTTCCATCTTTAAGTAGAGGTACAACATGTTTTGAGAAGAAATTCCTATGTCACTGACTTACAGTCAATACTAATGGATCTCATTGATGGCAAAAAGAATATAAAAGAAATTATATAAGCTTCACTAGTGAATTACCTTATTTAATAATTCAATACAAAAAAGAAGGTGTGGCTATAAAAATGGTGGGAAAACATATCCATGGACTAAGGTCCCCTGAATGATAACTCCAAGTAATATGGGATAAGTTCCATCCCAAGAGACCAATGAACAATTCATTAAATTACACAGGGAAAGAAACTTTTAGTTTTGGGTATTGTGGCCAATTGCAAAATAATTATTAGCTAATTTTCTAAAATTATTATATCTGACATTTTAATAGCAAAAATGTTCTAAACAACAATAAGGAGAAACATTAAGAAATTGATTGTCCCTTCCCCCACCCAGACCAAATCCTGAGTCACTGCCCATGAAGGGCTCCTCTGCTCCTGAATGGCCATGATCCCAGAGGCACACAAACCAATCTGGGAACCCAGCAGCTTCTGGCAGAAATGCCTATGGACTGTGAACTAAGCTACAGCCCCTGACACCCCAGAAAGCGTTTGTTCCTCCACTTCTTCCCTCTTGGCAGCAACATGGTGACCACTATCTTTCAGATCCTATCGGATACAGGCTTGCGATGACGGGGCATGTGAGACCTCTCAGGATGGGGGCAGAACTGGTCCTTCTCTCCACCTGGATGAGATCCCAAGTCGCCACCCACGAAGGTCTCCTCTGCTCCCAAATGGCCATGATCCCAGAGGCACACAAACCAATCTCGGGACCCAGAGACTTCTGGCAGAAATCTCTGGACTTGTTTACTGAAATACCAGAAATCCAAAATCACGTGGCCTCTGTCGCTGCCATATGACATCATATGCCCTTCATTATCAGCAATGGAAAACAAATTATCTAATGATGCCTTTTCGGCAGGTCTGATAGTTGGGGGGAAATTCCAAATAATAGTAGTGAGTCTTCTGTCAAAAAATTGAATGTTCTTGGAGGCTCGGTGGCAGTCATCCTCCAGAGGCCACTGGACAGTCAGAGTTGGGCCCTCAGTGATGAAACTTGTTGGGCCTCGCAGGATGGGGGGTGGAGCCAGGCCTTTCCTCCCCACCCCAACAAGACCCCAAGTCATCGCCCATGAATGGCCTCTCTGGCTCCTGTTCAAGCTGCTCAATGGCCATTATCCCAGAGACTCAGGAGCAAATCTCGAAACCCAGTGGCTTTTGGCAGAAATCCCTCCAGATTTAAGTGTTAAAATTTCAGAATTTCAAAATCACATGGCCCAACTGCAGCCACACGATATCATATGTTATTTATAGCCAGCAATAGAACACAAATCTTCTACTGTTGCCTTTTCAGCAGATCTGAGTGTTGGGGTAAAATCTCAAATAATAATGGTGGGTCTGGTGTCGAAATACTGAATGTGATCAAAGTAGAGAGAGATTAATGTGGAAATCATCTGCCCCACAGGTAGGGGGAGGGTGTGGGATGGGGGTATGCTAGGGTTTTTGGTGGTGGAGAATGGGCACTGGTGAAGGTACGGTTGTTTCATTGTATGACTGAGACTTAGACCCGAAAGCTTTGTAACTGCTCTCACGATGATTCAATAAATAAAATTATAAAAAAATGAAAAAAAATAAAAACGAAAACAAAAAAATTGAATGTAATCAAAGTAAAGAGAGAGTAAAGTGAAAATCATCTGCCACACAGGCAGGGCGAGGGATGAGATGGGGGGGTATACTGGGGTTCTTGGTGATGAAACATATGCATTGGTTGAAAGGATAGGTGTTTGATCATTGTATGACCAAGACTTAAACCCGAAAGCTTTGTAACTGTTCTCACAGTGATTCAATAAAAATTAATTAATTAATTAAATTTTTAAAAAAGAAAGAAATTGATGGCATGACACACACCTCATGAAATTTTATACTACTCCAAGTACACTTCCTTTCATTGAGTGAAGATGTGCAAGGAAAGAAAAAATCAATATCAGTCTAATTCATCAGTGAGTCCCAGCTGGGCTAACTACAATGATTCAACCTCAGAATAGCAAACTCAATGGTGAAGACTCTTAGAAGCCGACCAAGTTTAATGAGTGAAAACAATAACACAGAAGGTTCAACCAGTACCAACCAGCTGAGTAAGTCCTCAGACGATTACTTTGGTGACTCTGTGATGTGAATGCTTAATGAACTCAAATAAAATATGGCACAGTTGGTCAACGAAGCACAAAAAAAGATGAAAATCAAAATGAGAAAACTACAAACTAAAAAAAAGAGTGTGGTAGATGCTGTGGAAAAAAAATCTCATCATAAGGGCCACTAAGTGAATGATGCTTGGAGAGATCATTCAGGATGGGTGATACATGCTGAAAGTAGATTATAGACGAAACATCATGGCCGCTTAGTACCTATATTGCAAACCATAACACCCAAAAGGAGATAGAGATAGTAAAAGGGAATTTGCCTGCTACAGAGGTGCGGGAGTTGGGGGGGTGGCGGGAGAGATACTGGGAACCTTAGTGTTGGAGAACGGACACTGGTGGAGGAATGGATACTCAATCATTGTATGACTGAAACGTAATCACTAAAGTTTGTAAGTCTGTAACTGTATGTCATGGTGATTCATTAAAATATATATTAAAAAAAGAAAAAGAAAAAATCTAAAAAAATTCTCATTAGAAACTCTTAAAAGTGGTATAAGAGAAGCTGAGGAAAAGATTATGGAGCCCCAAGAAGAGGGAGAGGAAACTGCTAGAAAACAACAGAAGGTGGGTAAAATCTAAAAAGAAGCAAATGGCATACCAGAGAACTATGGAATGTGTTTAAGAGGAACAATATAATAATCATTGGGGTACCAGAAGAACAGGAAGCCTAATTAGATGAAGAAATAATTGTGAAAGAAATTATGCATAACAATTTCTAGGCCTTTGGGCTGAAGCAATAGCACAGCGGGTAGGGCGCTTGCCTTGCAAGCGGCTGACCCAGGTTTGATTCCCAGCATCCCATATGGTCCCCTGAGCACCACCAGGAGTGATTCCTGAGAGCAGAGCCAGGAGTGACCCCTGAGCATCACTGGGTGTGACCCAAAAAAAGCAAAAAAAAAAAAAAAGAAAAATGAAAAAGAATTTCCAGGCCTTAAATGGCTCTAGGATGAAGTACAACAATCTTCACACACTTCCCTCTTATGGTGGTGGGAAGTGGGAAGGTGCACAGTGGTAGGATTGGTGTTTGAATATTAAATGTAATGAACTATTGTGAACAAGTTTATAAAACTAAAAAATAACATTTATAGAAAAAAAATAATTTACAGGTCTTTCCAGCATAGATTCTGACCAGGGCCTGGGAAGCAGGCCCTGGCCCTAGAAGCGGTGATTCCTGCAGGCTTCCAGTCTCAACAATGCCTGCCTCCAGCAGACCATGTTCCAGGTATATTTTTGGATTTTCTCCCCGGTCCTTGTTCTGTTGGCAGTAACATCATCTGAATGTGAAATTAAAGGTCAAGCAAGTGGTA